TTGCAAATGCGCATACACAACCTGGCGAGCTGATCTGGCGCATAATAGTGCACAGCCACACCATGCCTTGCATCGACCTTTTTTGTTATGGGACAGCTTGTGCACGTGCGGGATCACTTGAAGTTTAGCACCCGGTGGATCCCCAGCAGCTCCGTCCCTTTGTGTTCCACATTCCATTGTCGACATGTGTGCTTTAACGTCCCAAAACCACCATATTGTCGTGGGTTATAAATTAAAGGGGGTGTATTTAAAAACTTGGACAGTGGAACCTGTAAAGACGCTCTCTGAGAAGGCCACTAAGACCCTCCCGCCAGAGTGAGCATCGTCCCGATGCTCAACAGGTATAGATGCGGCCAGCGGGTGTTAAAATCACTGAGAGTAGTAAAGTTTCATGCGGACTACGTGCACCGTCTACATGCTGGCGACGTTTCGAACAGAAGGAGGCGTCGGGCATGACTTCGTACGTCACGTCACTAAGACGGCTCAAAACCTTGTAGGGTCCGAAGTGTCGGCATAGGAGTTTCTCTGAGAGGCCTCGTCGTCGTACAGAAAACCAAACCCCGACTTTATCTCCTGGTTGATAAATGACGCATCGATGGCGAAGGTTGTACCGTTGGGCATCAAGTTGCTGCTGGTTCATTATTCTGATGCGGGCAAGCTGCCTTGCTTCCTCAGCGCGCTCAGTGAAGTCTGCGGCGTCTGTCTCTGAATCATTGCAATCGTAAGGCAGCATGGCGTCAAGCATTGTAGAAACTTCTCTGCCATGAATTAATGCAAACGGCGTCATTTTTGTTGTTTCCTGGCGGGCCGTATTATACGCGAATGTGATGTACGGCAATATTCGGTCCCAATTCTTGTGTTCCACGTCGACGTACTTGCAAAGCATGTCAGCGATTGTCTTGTTAAGTCGTTCTGTAAGCCCATTCGTTTGTGGGTGGTAAGCTGTCGTTTCCCTGTGCGCTGTGCCACTGAGCGTAAGCACAGTGCACGCAAAAGCTCGGCTGTAAACGCGGTACCTTTGTCTGTTATGACGACAGATGGAGCACCATGTCTCAGGACAATGTTCTCAATGAAGAACTGGGCCGCTGCAGCTACAGTGCCACTCGCGATTGCCTTGGTTTCCGCGTATCGGGTGAGGTAGTCCGTCGCCACTATAACCCGTTTGTTGCCGCTGTCCGATGTTGGGAATGGGCCCAGCAGATCCATTCCGATTTGTGAAGACGGGGTTTCTGGCACGGGCACAGGATGTAATAGCCCAGCGGGTTTGACAGGTGGTACCTTGCGCCGCTGACAGTCAGTGCATATTCGGACGTAATGTTTCACCTCTGCTGCGATTCTTGGCCAGTAATATTTTCTCTGATGCGTGTCAGTGTTCTTGTGAAACCGAGGTGGCCCGCAGTGGCTTTGTCATGGCAGGCTTGTAAAACTGCTGCGGAGAGCTCTAGGAACTACCAGCAGATAGCTTCTACCTGTTGATAAAAATTATTTTTGTACAGAATTCCATCCCGTAAACAGAATGACGATAAGGTCTTCGAAAACACGCTTTGTGCATTGGCGGCTCGTCCGATCGAGAACTCTATAAGCGAGTTGAACTCCCGATCATCTTGTTGTAGCCGAGAAATGATAGCTGCATCAACAACTCTTAAAAACTTGTGAATTCATCATCCTCTACAGCCGGTGATTCAATCGGTGGCCTTGACAATCAGTCGGTGTCTAAGTGTTGCCTTCCGAACTTGTAAACTACGTCCATGTCGTACTCTTGGAGCCGTAAGCTCTCCATCATGCTAAACGTCCTGATGGGTTTTTCATGTTGGTCAACCAACAAAGCGAGTGGTGGTCGCTTACGACTTGATTAGCGCGGCTTATAAGTACGGGCGGAACTTCGCAACTGCCGAAACGACAGCCAAACACTCCTTCTCTGTTGTTGAGTAGTTGGACTCGGAGCGTGTCAACGTCCTGCTACCGTAGGCAACCACTCTCTCCACACCATCTTGGCATTCGACAAGAACAGCACCTAGGCCCACATTGCTGGCGTCTGTATGGATGGCAGTTGGTGCATTCTCGTCGAAGTGAGCGAGGGCAGGTGGAGTTTGTAGACGCTGTCGTAGCTCGTTGAACGACGCTTCTTGCTCTTCACCCCATACAAATGTGACGTCTCCCTTCTAAGGCGGGTGAGTGAAGAGGCGATGTCTGCAAAGCCTGCTATAAATTGCCGGTAGTAGGCGCAGAGTCCCGGCCCCGCCACGGTGGTCTAGTGGCTAAGGTACTCGGCTGCTGACCCGCAGGGCGCGGGTTCGAATCCCGGCTTCGGCGGCTGCATTTTCGATGAAGGCGGAAATGTTGTAGGCCCGTGTGCTCAGATTTGGGTGCACGTTAAAGAACCCCAGGTGGTCTAAATTTCCGGAGCCCTCCACTACGGCGTCTCTCATAATCATATAGTGGTTTTGGGACGTTAAACCCCACATATTAATCAAGGCGCAGAGACCCAGAAAACGCCTGACCGCCATCTTGTTAACAGGCCTTGCGAACTTTGCGACGGCTGCCGTTTTATCTGGGTCAGGCTTTACACCTTCGCGACTGATCACGTGTCCCAGGAGCTGGAGTTCTTCGAAGCCGAAGTGACATTTTCCGGTTCGAGTGTGAGTCCAGTGGACCGTATGGCTTGAAGGACTGACAGTAGCCACTTTAGATACTCTTTAAACATTGATTTGATTGATATGTGGGGTTTAACGTCCCAAAACCACCATATGATTATGAGAGACGCCGTAGTGGAGGACTCCGGAAATTTTGACCACCTGGGGTTGCTCTTTAAACGTGGCCGAAAAAACGATCACGTCGTCGAAGTACACAAGGCTTGTTTTCCATTTCAGGCCGGACAGAACGCTATCTATTAGTCTCTGAAACGTGGCTGGGGCTGAGCATAGACCGAATTGTAGGACTTTGAATTCATAAAGCTCGTCTGGCATCACGAAGGCGGTCTTATCTCGGTCGCCGTCTTTTACTTCTATTTGCCGGCATCCACTTTTAAGGTCCATTGACGAGAAGTAGCGTGCATGCCGTAGCCTGTCCAAAGAGTCATCGATGCGTGGTAATGGATAAACGTCTTTTTTTGTAACATGGTTTAGCTTACAATAATAGATGCAGAAACGCAAGCTGCCGTCATTCTTTTTCACGAGTACCACTGGCGATGCCCAAGGACTCTTTGATGGTTGGATTACATCATCCTATAGCATCTTCTTGACTTGCTGCTGGATTACCTCACGTTCTTTCTGAGCGACACGATGTTGGTTCTATCGAATTGGTCTTGTTGCGTCTTCCGTAATGATGCGATGCTTAGTCAGAGGCGTTTGACCCACTCGTGATGTCGATGAGAAGCAGTCCTTGAACTGGTCGAGCAGCTCCATAAGGCGGCATCTTTCAGTCGGTGTTAGACTCGAACCAATATCGACTGGTGGTGTATGTGGAGGTGATTGAGCTGTGGCTTCCCCTTGCATTAGAAGACAGTCGTAAGAGTAGTCGAGCCCTTCGAGGTACGCCACAGCCGTGCCTTTACCGATATGCCGGCGCTCATTTGTGAAGTTGGTCAGAAGCACCTCTGCACCTCTGCGCGCCCATCCACTAATCTGACGTTGCCGCGAGCAATGGAGATGCCTTGGCGAAAAAGAAGGGCAGTGATGCGTTCGGCTATGGCATCTTCATTACAGTGCACGCCGCAACACATGGAAACAAGACTACATGGCAGAGGTGGCACGCAGACGTCGTCGTCGACCACACGTAACACCCTGGGTTCTTCGTCTGGATCATGGGTCACAGACTTGTCAGCGGCGAATGTGATCACACCATCGCGTATGTTGATCACAGCACCGTGTCCTTTTAAGAAGTCCATTCCCAGTATCTTAGGTTTGCACCACTCCGGTAGGACCAGAAATGTGGCTACAAAAGCCACATTCTCAATCGTGAGTCTTGCTGTACATTTTCCCGTGGGAGTCATTATCTGGCCTCCAGCATTTCGGATATAAGGGCCCATCCATTCCATCCTGACTTTCTTGAGTTTGTCTGCCAATCGTTCACTCATTATGGAGAAGTCTGCACCCGTATCAACTAAGGCCGTCACTTCGACGCCGTCAATTGTCACAGCGAGGTCGGCAGTCACAGTTTTTCGGCGGGTCTTCGATACTGAGGATG